AAAATGAAATATAATAATATAAAATAAAAAATAGACTTTTACAATTTTTTAGAATAATAAAAATAAAAATAAAAAGAAATAAAAATAATAGAAGTAAAAAAAATAAAAATAGAAATTAAAAAAAATGAAAAAGTAATCTGGTAATTACACCATGTAATTGCCAGTAATTCACAGCCTCTGCCTGTGAATTGTAGAGTGTAATTACCCCTCTGTCAATTACATCAATTACCTGCTGACCAAGTAATTACATGTCCTTCCAAATAGGACAAGACAATGTAATTACACCAATTACACCAAATTCAATTACCAGGGTGTCCTTCCAAACATGCCCGACATTAATGCCATCAACGGCATTTTGCATCTGTTGCAAAACTGAAGTGCCATATTGCACTAACTCCTAGTGGTGTAATGCTCCAAATAAATGTCCAATGGTTAAGACAAAAGAATTATCCTCCAACGGACAATTTACCGCAAATGCCACACTTTTGACTCCAAACATTTCAAGCAAATTAATATACAAAAATATTAATATTAAAATGCTAACCAACAAAATATTAAAAAAATGAGCATGTGGTTCTATAACATGTACACACAGCTTGCAATAATTGAATCCTTCCCAAAACACATTGCACCACCATGTGCTCCTTTCTATCCAAATATCTCAGATCCAAAACTTCCACTCTGCCACTGCAGATCCGCTGCCTCCAAGGAGGAGGGGGAGGAGTCGCGGGATACTTCAACTCTCCGATTTTACATAAAAATCTGATGATGCCCTTACGCCAATTTTGTAAGCTTCCAATCGGAGTATCGAAAGAGGAACTATTGAGAGAAGGGTTGCAGCCTGAGCTGATGCCGAAACACGTAGCTATTATACCGGATGGTAACCGGAGATGGGCTAAGGAGAGGGGTTTGTCACCGGAAAAAGGTCATGAAGCTGGAAAAAAAGTGCTCGGAGATTTGTGTCGTTATTGTTCAAAATGGGGAGTCAAAGTTCTTTCTGCTTATGCTTTTTCTACTGAGAATTGGTCAAGGCCCAAGGTAAGTCCGAGTTTTAGTTGTTTTAATACTTTATATGTCGTTATATGCTCAGGGGCGTCTCAATAAGATCAATAACTTTAACAGGAGGCTTTATTTTCTGCTCAGGGGCATCTGAATGAATTTTTTTTTTTACGATGGATTACTTTCCTCTTTTATCAGTCTTGTGTGTCTCAAAATAGAATTAATCGGGAAATTCAATACTAGGGTATAGAGGATGAAAATAAATTGATCCCCCAAAAGTTTTGAGGCCTAAAGCCCTCGCTTGTAGTGGCTTGACCCTCTGGCCTGCCCTGTTAATATGCTTCCCGATGCATTGACATTAAACCAGCTCATATCTCCGATGCCCTCACCACATGTCCTGATTTTTGTGAACTTCTCGTTCCATGAGACCTCAGGTCTCGCTATTTCCATTTTCTAGGTCACGTGTTAACCTCGTTAGAAAGCGGAGTTCAACTGGAATAAACTCCCTCCAAGCAATAACATGCTTTAGTGCAGTTGGTAAAACATGGTGTTAAAATGAATAGCTCCACCCTGTTCTGTGTTTTTTTCTTAATTCTTTGTCTTTTAAGATTAGTTGGCCATGTGAGTTGTGACCATTATATATATTTTAAAGTTATGTTGCACTGGCAATATAAATAAATTAAAAATTTACCATAAAGCCCTTTTATGTCAATGGTCTAGTGCAGTCTAAAAATTCAGATTCTCTCATACATTTCTATATATATATATATATATATTTGGGCAGGGTGAAGTAACTTTCTTGATGACGAGCTACTTTGAAAGGCTTTTTACGGAATTCATGAGGTAATATTATTTAACTAAAAACTCTTTAATTACTTATTTTTTATAATCGTTATGTCTGGATAAGCGTTCACCTTATCTAATTAATTTCATTAAGTATATGATATTTCTCACTAGAATAGATATGGGATAACTCTGTTCAACAAGACAACTGTTACAACTTATAAATAATGTTCAAACTGTTATAGAACATGTTAAATTTCCAATCCTATTGCATCCAACTTCACAAATGCTGGCTTCTGAATGAATCCCGACATGTTTTTAATCGAAAAGATCGACACTTATACCAATAAATTCTTTTTTTATATGGGACTTTTTGCTGCATTTTGATTAGGAAATTCATTAAATATATATAAATATTTGATTACGAACCCAGTAATTAATACGAACTATGAACTCTGTGGCAAGTTCAAAACTCACACACTTTGATCCATTATTATTCACTTGGTTCCTTTTACATTATTTTTTTTAGAGATAGTTACTTGTACTAATTTCAATATATTTTTAGGTATGGGATGAAAATGTCCTTTATTGGAGACAGGTCTAACCTTCCAAATTCTTTGAAAGAAATGTTAAGATTAGCTGAGGAAACCACAAAGGACAACACAGGGCTTCATTTTGTGGCAGCACTTAACTATGGTGGAAGATATGACATAACACAAGCAACTAAAAAGATTGCTAGTAAAGTTAAAGATGGAGTTATTCAATTAGAGGATATTAATGACAAGTTAATTGATCAAGAATTAGAGACTAATAAGATTTTGGAATATCCTAATCCTGATTTACTCATCAGAACAAGTGGAGAGTTGAGAATTAGTAACTACATGTTGTGGCAATTGGCTTATAGTGAATTCTACTTTGTGGATAAATTGTTTCCTCAATTGGATGAAGATGATTTTGTAGCAGCTTTACGTTCGTTTCAGCAAAGGCAAAGACGTTATGGTGGGCACAAAATTTAATGGAAGGACCGCAGTATAATTATTCTTTCGGGATATATTGACCCCACTTATGAAATCTATGTTATTGTTGTTGACAACAATATAGTATCATATGTGTGGGGGGTTTTGTTTTAAATTTAAGGGGGATTAGAATTTAATGTTTATTATTGATGTTTTTATATATCCTAAGGAACAGAAGTTGTCAGTATTTGCTAGTTTCTTTATGTTGTGATGGATTTTAAATTTGATGGTGTTGAACATTGAACGTTGCGATAGTGTCAAAGAGAAAATAAAAGGTAATTAAGGGTTTTGTTTATCAGACAGACATGTTGATGCTGCACACGACGCAAACTTCAGTACACTAAAGAACAGCAAAAATGAGCTAAAAGTGCCTTGGAGTTTTCCAATTAAAAAAAAGGACAAGTGGGGTCCCTTTACTTTTTCTCTACTTTTTTTACTTTTAATATTAATAAAATGACTAAACTAATAATATTTTTTGTAGTTGTGTTGTCGTCACAACTATGACAGTTGTTGGACTAAAATGTAAAAGTTAAAAATTTGGAATAATGAGAAAATATTTTTTAACCTAATTAATATTATTTGTCACTTCTACCCAATTTTTAAAACTTGAAGGACTCATACCTATTTGACTAACTAGTTTGTCCCTTTTAATAAAACATCAAATTGATATATATATATACATATATACTCCCTCCGTTTCTTTTTATATGTTACTCTTTTCTATAAATAGTTGGTCCATAATACTTGTCATTTCATAAAATCAATGCATAAATTACCATATGATTCTTGTTCATTGGTTAAATTAATTAAAATAAAGTAATTCATATTCATTGATTAAAAACTTGAGTTCCAAAAAAATTAAATAAGGGTAGAATAGTAAACTTATTTAGTTTCTTAATGCACGTGACACAATCATGAAAATGCACATACAAAAATATTTAAGCTAAACAAGATGAAAATTTTATTTTTAAGAATGATCAACTAAAACTTGCAGAGAATATGTAAAAATAAAATAAAAAAATAAGATGGAGGATATTTTTATAAACAAATAACTTATTCTTACAAATTATACAATAAATATAAGTTTGAATATAACAAACCAAACAAACAATAAAAACTAATTTTAGCATAACTAATCTCAACATAATTTGTATTCAAACCAAAATGATCGGTGTATATATTTGATCATTTAATAAGAAGCTCCCTAAAAGTCGTAGTGACAGTCACAGGACGGCAGAAGACGAAGAAAAGTGATGAAAGGTAAGTCTTAATGTGAGACTTTTCTCACCATAAATCTGAAAATTTCCTGTTAGGTTTTAGCATTCTTTACCAATGTCTTATGCTTCAGTCGGTATGTCTTCGTGTACAAAAGATTGTAAATATGATGTATTTTTGAGTTTTAGAGGTGAAGATACACGCAAAACCTTTGTGAGTCATCTCTATGATGCTCTGCACAGAAAAGGAATTCATGTTTTCAAGGATGATGAACGACTTGAAACTGGAAAATCAATTTCTGATGAACTTTTAAAAGCCATAGAACAGTCCAGAATTGCGATTGTCATATTCTCCAAAAGCTATGCATCGTCAACATGGTGTTTAAAGGAGCTTGCACACATCATAAAATGCCGAAATGAATTGGACCAGAATGTGATTCCAATTTTTTATGATGTGAGTCCATCAGATGTACGCCTTCAAAATCCCCCATTCGCGGAGGCATTTTCCCAACACGGGGAAGAATTCAAAGATGATGCGGAAAAGATTAAAAATTGGAAGGATGCATTTGTGGTTGCTGGAAAAATAGCAGGGCATGATCTGAAAACTTATAAGTAATTCTCTTTTCTTTTTTGCTTTCTCTTTTTACAAGAGAAAAAAAAACAAATCGTTAGCTATATCTCCAAACAATTTAGACACTATGATCTAAGAAAGCAAAAACATGTGATAGTTAGTTTACTTAATATATTAATGGACACTTCATATTAGTATTGCTCTTGTCCTTCAATTTCTGTTACTATCTGTTGTTTCTTGTACCTCAATTATCTCCTATTTTTGTTATTATTTGTTGTTTCTTGTACTACGTTACTTCTTTTCGCGACTGTTTTTCCTTGAGACGAGGGTCTACACTCAATAAGGTGTATGTACCCTCTTCAGACCCCACTTTGTGGGACTACACTCATTATACGTCAACATCATTATACAAGATTGAGCATGTGCTTTTTCAATGATGCAGGGGTAATATGACGGTAATGATTAAATGATAGAAAGTGAACAATCTTGTATCTTAAGCTCTTCTTGATTAGGTATACTGGCAAAGCCTTCTAATTGTCATCCTTGTAATTAAGATATAGTCATTCTTTAGCCTGATTTAGGAGGATGTCTAGGCGTATTGATTCTCTTATGCTTCTGATCAATAGCTATTTTATTTCATTTTCCATTTGTTTTGCAAAATTTTGAAGTTTGTTAAGTAAAATTAGGAGTCAGGAATAATTGGAAAATATTTTCTAATTCATCTATAAAAGGCTTATAAACATTTGTATTTAGACTTTTTGAATCTAAAATATTTTAAATCATAAAAAAAAGGGTTGGTCTAAACTACCTTGTGGCAGCCTTATATGTTATCTGTTTTAGGAATAGTCTTCGACACTTTTTTAGAATTTTACAATGAGATACTTTTATTGTACTGTGTAGGGATGAGGCTGATTGTATCAAGAAACTAATTGATGATATATTTCATAAGTCGCTTCAAGGTATTTTACACTTTCCGGAAAACTTAGTGGGTATGAAATCTCAAATTGAGGAAGTAATCTCATTATTAGATCTGGAATCAAATGATGTTTGTTTTATTGGGATTTGGGGGATGGGTGGCATCGGCAAAACAGAAATTGCAAGTTTTCTACATCGGAGACTCCGTCATCAATTTGAAGCTGACTGTTTTCTTGGTGATGTTGGAACATTGTATCAGAAAAATGGACTGACATGGCTAGAACAAGTAGTCATCTCCAAGCTCTTGAGAGAAAAGATGACTCTAACTAGTAAACATGAAGGGATGGATATTATAAAGAGTATGCTTCATCGGAAGAAAGTTTTGTTCATTCTCGATAATGTAAACCATCAAGAACAATTGGAATGTTTAGTTGGTCGAGCAGAGTGGTTTGGTAGGGGTAGCAGAGTTATTTTAACAGCAAGAGACAAGCACCTGTTAATTAGTCATATTGGGGATAACGTGTATGAAGTCCAATTGTTACCTGAGAATGAAGCTCTTGAATTGTTCAGTAGGCATGCTTTTAGAGAAAAATCACCAAAGAAGGGTTTTATGGAACTTTCAAGACAAGTGGTGGAGTATGCTGGTGGACTCCCTTTAGCTCTTAAAGTTTTGGGCTCTTCTTTTTATAAACGAGACAAAGAGCAATGGAGAGACAGAATTGATCGATTGAAGAAAATCCCTCACAACGATATTTTGGGAAAACTTCGGATTAGTTTTGATGGACTAGACAAAGAGGAGAAGAGAATGTTTCTAGATATTGCCTGCTTGTACAATCATGAATCAAGAGATTATGTGGAACGAGTATTTAAGAGTTGTGGCATCCACTTGATAGGAATAGATTATCTTGTTGAAAAATCTCTCTTATCCATCGATAGATATCCTAGAATTCTGATGCATAATATGATTAGAAAAATGGGTGAAAATGTCGCAAGGGAAGAGTATGCCAACAACAGAATATGGCTTCCCGAGGAGGTTCGTGACCTTTTTGCAGGAAAGATGGTAAGGAATATTTTAACATAATCAATATTTTCATAAGCTCTTAGAGTATTGTTTGTTCCTTCTAGATTTTTCCGCTCTTTCTATTCCTTAACAAATACTGATATGTTTCATTCTTTATAGAAAGTAGAGAAAGTTGAAAGCATGCGAACTTCAGAGTACCAATATTTTAAAGATGAGGTGTTCAAGAAGATGCAAAGCTTGCAGGTACTTAAAATTGATAAGAAATATGGTCTTGTCAATCATAGCACTATCACTTATCTTCCCTCTAGCTTGCGGTGGATTGATTGGGAGAACTATCGTTCAAGTTCATTGCCAGAGAATTTCGAACCATTAGATCTCGTTGGGCTTTCTTTAGTAGCTGGTAGTCTTGTCAAACTTTGGCCAATATCAAAGGTATGATCGTACTATCTCCCTCTCTCCAACTCATCAAAATCTATTTTTCCCAATTCCTAGTTTAAACTGCATAAATTATTCACCTTACAACTGAAATGCTACAAAAAGTAAATTTTAGTCCATATACATAACTAACATCAAAATGTAGAAATATTTTCTGTAACCTATCAATCTGATAATCACTCACCAGAAAACTTAAAATAGTCCAGTAGACTAATCTTATCAAAAAGAGTGACAATTATTCTTAAATTCAGGTTCTAGTTTCCTTTTGGTGTAATTTTCAGGTCCTTATGTGTTTAGAGGATTGGATCTCTTTAGTTGAGAATCATATTTGACGAGCATTTTGAAAAAGCAAAACAATTCCTAATAAGTATTATATAATCTTAAATGTATTTCCCATCAGTTCTGGAACAATTTTCTCTTTCATTCCCTCTTTATTTTGTTCCTCACGAAATACAATTGCATATTCTATTAGGAATACTACTTAGGCTAACTGATATTTCAGAGAAGCATTATGTTTTATTTTCCGTTCTTGTACGAAAACAGAAATTGAGCAACTTGAAGTATTTGGATCTAAGCGACAACCTTGGGTTAACAAAAACCCCTAATTTTGGTGATATTCCAAACTTGGAGACACTAATTTTAAAGTGGTGTAAGAATTTGGAAGAAGTTCATCCGTCTCTTGGACATTGCAGAATGCTCACTATTCTACATTTAAAGGGTTGTGGCAAACTCAAGAAGCTCCCAAAATTTGTTTCCATGGAATCTCTTGAGACTCTGAACCTTGGAGAATGCACAAGTTTAGAAAAGTTTCCAAAGATCTGTGGAGATATGCGGAGCTTATCAAAACTCTATGTAGGATCCCCTTGGATAAGAAGCTTGCCCCTGTCTCTCTGTGGCTTAAGCTATTTGAATTTGAAAGATTGTATAGATCTTGAATGTATTCCAAACACTATTCAAAATCTTGAATCTCTCTGGATTTCAGGTTGCAATACAATTGCAACACTGCCGAACAGCCTCTTTGAATCAGAGAAATTAGAGAAACTTGTAATAGCACATTGTTCTAGATTGGCAGAGCTCCCCATCTCTCTTGGAGCTCATAAGAAGCTTCTTCGATTAGACTTGCTTGGATGTGAAAACCTAAAGAAGCTTCCAAGCTCCATTCAGATGGAATCCCTTGTAGATCTTCATATACTTAATTGCCCAAAATTAGATACATTTTCAGAAATTAATGGAGATATGTATAGCTTATCAGAATTGTCCCTACAATCTACTAGGATTACAGAACTGCCTTCATCAATCGGGAATCTAAGTGCACTCAAATTGCTCTCTCTGGTAGGTTGTGAACATCTTGCAAGTCTACCAAAAAGCCTCTGTAATTTGAATAACCTTCGATGGCTTCGTCTCCGCGGCTGCAACATACTAGAGAACCTTCCAGAAAACATTGGTGATCTGCAAGAGTTGGAGGAACTTGATGCAAGAGAAACTGCAATCTCCCAACTGCCTCTCTCCACCACGAAGCTGGGAAAACTGAACACATTAAAATTCTCACATAAACATTCCTCAAGTTTCGTCTTGCATCAAGTGTCAGGTTTATCCTCCTTGACACGGCTTCATCTCAGTAATTGCAACATATTGGGTGGACTTCCCGAGGATCTTGGATCTTTGCGCTCTTTGGAATACTTGATTGTTAAGGGAAACAATATTTCTTGTTTACCTAAAAGCATCAAGAAGCTCTTATGCCTCAAATACCTGAACGTGCAATTTTGTAAGAGTCTTAATGAACTGCCAAGAGAGCTGCCCCCTAATTTAGAGTTGCTATATGCAGATTATTGTTTAGCCTTGAAGAGCATAAGAGACCTACTAATTAATTGTTTTAAATTGAACCTGATCTTAACATCATGGTGTGGTCATGAAAAATCTCGATGCGGAACTATCTCAACTAACCAAGTTAATGTGTTGAAGTGCGTACAGCATTTTCTCAGGGCATGCATCCAGGTTTTTACCTCACCTTCACATATATGAATGTTGATCCTTGTCAATTGATTTATGCTAATAATGATTTCTGTTGCAGTGCCACTTCCACCAAAGGACATATTTTTGCATTTCTTTTCCTGAAGGCAGAATTCCAGAGTCATCTGGTTATCAATTTATAAATCAAAGTAGGATCTCAATTAACCTGAACCCATCTTGGTATACTGACAAATTCATGGGTTTTTCGATATGTTGCTATTCTAATGGATGGAAAGCTGGTGTAGAAGCTACTTTGATCTGCATATCTGACCCCGAAAGAAAACATTCCTTGAAGTGTGACATTGACCACCATCGGCTCAATAGTCTTGCTCCTTCTGTCATCTTTTTCTACATACCATTTAAAACATGGTGGCTTGCATCTGACAATAAAGTAAGGAAGAGCCCACTTGATTATTGCCTATTTGAGGTATGTACAATGTCAAGGAGGAAAGCATATTGGGGAGTTCGCCTGGAGTATGAGAATAAAGTTAGGAGATGGAGAAGGAAGCACCTAGCAATGCAAAGTTCCAAGCTCTTTGAAGTTCCGCAAAAAGATAATGCAATGATGACTGAAATTGGCTGCTCTGTGGTATTTGAACAACTAGAGCCGTCATCTATTTCTAGTCACTTGCAAGAGTCTATTGACCATAACTTCACTACAGAAAGGGGACTTCATTTTGGGTTTGAAAATAAAACTCTAGAGCTGAATCAAGCAACAAAGGCAGTTCAAAGCGAACATGAATCTCAGAATGTTGAGTTGATTAGAATTTGTGATAGCCCATTTAGGAAAATGGTTGGTGCTTCAAGAAAGAGAAAGAGAAAGGAGAAACAAAAAGAGAAAAACAACCTCAAATCGTTCAAAACTTTTCTGATCAACAACAGGGACAAATGAAACTAGGTGCTCTCATTGTGACAACTAGCATGATTTTGATTGGATCATGAGGAACTTCTTTGCTAGCAAAAAGGGTCACTCAAAGAAGATAGTCACGGTTGGGCTTGAAAATATCTTGAGAATTCTCGTAATCTTATGTATTTTTTTATTCTTAATTTCATTTTTCTTGGATGTAGAAGCATCTATTCAATTTGATTTTCAGAGCAGAGAAGATATTGTGGAGCAATTACTCAACATCAAATCCGGGTGCTAGAAGCTATGCAAGTTTGTTGCTCCTCTAATTCTTCATTTTCTTTCTTGATTCTTTCGGCCTCTGCTTCTATGTCTCTTTCATTCTCAGGCTACAGACCATTTTTACTTTATCAATTTTTTCCCTTTAAAATTTTATAGTAGTAGGTGAATTGTAAATCATTCAAAAGATCTTGGGCAAAAACTTAGAAAACGATACTACCATTTGTATAGAATATACTATTTTAGATAAATATGTGTTTTTTTAGGTTGGTGCTACGTGTCTCGGGGTATATTTGATCAGATGAAGAAAAGGGAACTTTTCTTTCTTTCTTTCTTTATATTCCATGTTGGATATATTTCTTGTTGAAACGTCCTTTTCATTTTTGGATCAATTTGCATTACCTACTTTATATGTATGATATGCTGCAAGTGTTAAATATGAAAGCCGCTGCATTGGATAGGTAAATCTATGTGCATACTGTGTGGATTAGGATGCAGTCTTCAATTGTTTTTGCTTATATATAGGTGTTTTGTGTGTTTGACTTATTTTTATTTTTTGCCAAATTGCAAGTGAATTGTCATGTCACGGTATTGGGAAGTATATATAATGTTACAATATTTTACTCGCTCACCTCCGTTTTGTTACAAAGTTCATCAGATAAAAGATCAACAAAAGATGGAAGGATGCAATAAGCTTTATGATAAAAGAAATGGAATTTGGTCTAACTCAACCTCAAAAACTAGCTAGTTCAAGAGGTGAGGATTGTCCTAGACTATATAAAGAGACAAACTTTATTTTATTTTCTTGCTAGCTGAGGCAAGTTTGAGTGTCTGTTTATGTATTATGCCTATATTAAAAGAGAAACTTTTGAATTCAGAATGACTTCCACCAAAGGGATAATATCAGTATCTTTCCCTGAAGTCAGAATTCCAGAGTCAATTCATATATCAGTTTACTAATCAAAGAAGGATCTCAATTAATCTGAATCCATCTGAGTATACTGATAAATTCATGGGTTTCTTGATTTGTTGTTATTTTATTGGCGAGGATACTGATGTATTCGCTACATTGATCTGCAAATCTTACCCTGAAAGAAACCATTCCTTGTGGTGTTCCGGTTATCCATTTGTGTACAATGATCTTATCATGAATTGCACCTACGTACCATTTAAAACATAGTGACACGCTTCTGGCAATAGAGAAGGAAGAACCCAAATGTTTATTGCGTATTTGAGGTATCCAAAAGGACAGAGAAGGAAATGTATGCTGGAGAATTCTCCTGGAATATGAGCAACTAGAGCCATCACGTCCTTACAGCTCACATGCATCTGTTTAACATAACACGTGGCAACAGAAACGGAACTTCATTTGGGGTATAAAAATAAAGTTCAAGGGATGAATCAAGCAACAAAATGTCAAATTGTTGAGCTGATTGGAGCTTGTGTTGGCCCATCAAGTAAATGGGCAATGCTTCAAGAACGAGGAAGAGAAAGACCACAACAAATGGTCCAACTCTTTCCAGATCAACAGCAGGGACCAATGAAACTAGATGATTTCATTGCACCAACTAGCATATGACTGAAAGAACAAAATCAAGGTTAGGCTTGAAATATCTCAAGAATTCTCGTGTTTGTATGCTTTTTTACCCTCAGTTTCGTGTTTCTTGAATGTAGAAGCATCTATTCAATTGGATATTTAAAATAACGAAGATGTAATGGAGCAATTAATCAACATCAGCGCCATGCAAGGAACTATGCAAGTAAGCCTGAGTTTCCTTGAGACAATGCTTATTGGAATATTGGTTACACCATCAGGTACCCCTTCTTTTTGGAAACATTGATATATATCTATGCTTTTTGTAAGGAATGATTGCCGAATAATACGAAATGATTTTGATATATATTTTTCTATGTGTTTGATGTTTAATCTAGCAGTTCTCACTGAGCGAGTTTGCCCTGAAAAATATGCAACAAAGCAAGCAGAGGCTGGTTCAGTTGAAATTTCTTAAAGAGTATTACTTGTGTGAAATATTATGTTGGAATTATTTGTTTTGTTCTGGAACAACCAAATGAACTCCTCTTTTAATCAATTCTTGAAAACAAAACTACGGTTCAATGAAAATTAAGCGGTGACAATTGAGAGGTTATCACTAAATATTTCTAGTCCCAGGAACAAGGTCAAAGGGCAAGGCAAGCCATATGCTCATTTGACTCCTCATGGTCCAAACAAGGTCAAATCTCTGGCTTTACATAAAGGTCTGATGATGCCCTTATCTAATTCCATAATGTTTCAACACCAATTTTGTAAGCTTCCAATAGGAGTACCAAAAGAGGAGCTATTGAGAGAAGGGTTGCAGCTGGAGCTGATGCTGAAACACGTAGCTATTTTACCAGACGGCAACAGGAGATGGACCAAGGAGAGGGGTTTGTCACCGGAAAAAGGTCATGAAGCAGGGAAAAATGTGCTCGGAGATCTATGTCGTTATTGTTCAAAATGGGGAGTCAAAGTTCTTTCTGCTTACGTTTTTTCTACTGAGAATTGGTCAAGGCCAAAGGTTAGTCCGAGTTTTAGTTATTTTATTACTTAATATGTCGTTATATGCTTCCCGATGCCTTGACGTTAAACCAGCTCACATCTCCAACGCTCTCACCACACGTCCTGATTTTTTGTGTCAACTGGAGTGAACTCCCTCCAAGCAGAGCTACTTTGAAAGGCTTATTGAGGAATTCTTGAGGTACTACTTTTTAACTGAAAACTCTTTAATTACTTATTCTTTATAATCGGTATGTCCGGTTCAACTTACACATACCTTAAACTAATTTCATTGAATATATACAAGATAATTCACGGGATAACTCTGTTCACCAAGGCTTTAACTGTTACAAAAAATGTTCATAACAACAGACTTGTGAATGAATCCCGTCTTTTTTTAGTCGAAAAAGACTCTAATACCATTCAAATCTTTTCTTATACGGTATATAATAGTAATTAATACAGGTTTGGAAAAAACTTAATACTTTTTGTTTAAACAATGTATTTATATTAGGAAATTTATTAAATATGTATTAAGATTTAATTATGAACCAAGTAACTAATACGAGCTATGGGTTTGGTGGCTAGTTCAGAACTCATACACTTCAAAGTTCAAATCATGGCTCCGTCTCAATAACTTATTTTGTTTACTTATCAATGCAATGATCATGAATTTACGTTTCTTTTGCTTCTTTCTTATCCTGATTTCAATATTAATAGGTTTGGGATGAAAATGTCCATTATTGGGGACAGGTCTAACCTTCCAAATTCTCTGAAAAAAATGTTAAAATTACCTGTGGACAGTGGAAACCACAAAGGACAACACAGGGCTTCATTTTGTGGCAGCACTTAATTATGGTGGAAGACATGACATATGACAAGCAACTAAAAAGATTGCCAGTAAAGTTAAAGATGGAGTTATTCAATTAGAGGATATTAATGACAAGTTAATTGATCAAAGAATTTAGAGACTAATAAGATTTTTGGAATATCCTAATCCTGATTTACTCATCAGAACAAGTGGAGAGTTGAGAATTAGCAACTACATGTTGTGGCAATTGGCTTATAGTGAATTCTACTTTGTGGATAAATTGTTTCCTCAATTGGATGAAGATGATTTCGTGGCTGCTTTACGTTCGTTTCAGCAAAGGCAAAGACGTTATGGTGGACACAAAATTTAATGGAATGACCGCAATATAGTTAGTCTTTGTGTACATCTTACCCTTTCTTAGACCTCACTTGTGAGATTACACCGAGTATACAATTGTTGTTGACAGCAATATATATATAGTAATATTATGTGCGGATGTTTGGTGGATTAAAAAGAATGTTTGTTATCCTATGATATAAAACTAGTCAGTATTTGCTATCTTCTTTATGTTGTGTAGGAGCCTAAATTTTCAACCATTCTCTAATATTCTCTACAATTTTAATAGAGAAATAAAGGTTCAAATTTGACGTTGAACATTGTGATTAGTGTTTTAAAAGGTGGGGGCGTGAGACGAGACATTTTATGCCGTATGGGACGAGACGTAAGCCTCGAGACATAGGACAAAAGTCTTATGATCTACGGGACGTAGTCTCATGTATATTCAATTTTATAATTTTATTACTAAGAAAATAAGCAAAAGTAAAACTTTCAATTATTTTACAAATAAACTTTAATAAATAGCCTATAATATATAGAAAAATATATATTATGATTTTTATTTGAGAAATGTATTAATAAACAATAATGAAGAAAAAGAGTATTGCAATTAATATCATTACACTAACAATAAAAAATATGATTTAAAATAAAATAAAAAGTTCAAAAACCAAAAAAGAAAAAAAAAAAAAGCCCGTGTACTTGCGCCCTAAAAACATTTTTGAAAACACTTGTTGTGATAGTGCCAAAGAGAAAGTAAAAAAGGTTGAATTGGAAGTTGAAACAATATGTAGCATTGGTTGAAGTTGAAAGGGGTAGTACAAGAAAATGTCTAGAGATACTTGGAAGTTGAAAACATGCACCTTAATTAGTCTCACTCTAATCTATATATACAATTCATTCATGCCACAAATTAACAACCACGAGTTAGAATCAAATTTCCCTAAAAATTTTTTAGATATATTTGTACTTTTAAAGAATTATTAATTTATAATATAAATGGGACCATATATTTATATAGGAATATTATCTTAAAGAGGTTATTAATTAACTAAGTATTAATTTAGTGAGATTTGTATGTGGTTTGTTTTTATAATAGTAATATTCACATTGATTGAAAAAAAATAAAAAAATTATGGGCACCTTCACCTTGCAAGTAGATACTCAAAATATCCTATTTTTTTAGTTAAACAAGAAGTGAAGATTCGTATTTTTGAGATTAAAAGACCAAATACAAAAGGACTCTAGAAACCCTCAAAGAGTTAAATTACTTAGAAGTTGAAACACCTTAATTTTAATTTCTATATATAATATAATAAATCTCACAAGTAGTAATTAATGAGTGTGAAGATGAATTTGATGAAGGTTGGACCTGCTGGAGGAAAAGAAAAAAAAGGAGGTGTTTGGGATGAAAAGGGAAAAGGCGAAATTGCCAAGATTTTTGTTTCCGACGATAAACACGCAATTCAGTCACTTCAATTCCTCTTCGTTAAGAATGGAAATTTTGTTTTATCAAAGAGACATGGTGATACTGCACACGACGCAAACTTTGCTACAGTAAGTAGTGCAATTCATCTCCTATAATATTCTATTTATCCTTTTGTAGGACCGTACACTAATAGTAATATTTTGATTATTAATGAAGGTTGTGTTGGATTATCAATCGGAGTTTCTTACTTGGATAAGTGGTTTTCATGATTTAGAACCGAATAATAAGTGGATGTATTTGAGATCAATAACATTTGGCACAAACAAGGGTACTTATGGACCCCATGGCATGAAGACCGCTGTTAATTTGAAACTGAAAGAGTTCTACTTTCAAATAGGAGATGACCGTTCTTTTGGTGGATTTCACGGCACCAAACATGGTAATTACATTGAGAGTATTGGTGTTTATCTCAACACTATCACATCATCCATGATCAACACACACAAAAAGTCGGTGAAAGATGAAGAACAAATATTTGATAATTTGACATCGTTTTGGTTTTGTTTTTAATGTTGGGGATAATTGTAGTTTTAATTCTAAGTTTAATTTGGTCATTATGATATGCTTATTACATACAAAATATATGTTATATTGAACTATTTCTCTAAACCACGTCATAGCCCTCCATCATTAAGTAACAATACATACAAATCTAACCTAACTTATAGATTATATTGTTTTCCACAAATGCATGTGACTTTTAAACTTGTTCGTTTATATATATATATTACAATCTTCTAACTAAAGTTGACTTCTAAACTTGATCTACAACAAGTATTTTTTCTAGACATTATTCCTAAAACATTTGACGATCAAACTATGAACTATATATTAGTTTAAAATTTTCTTCAACATAAACATTAATTCTGTCCAAAAATGTTCCACTAATAGGTTTTTTCTTTACAATAATTTCATAAATATGCATGCAAAGTATAGCAAAGGTATAAGTCTATAAAACAATCTTAAGAGAGAAGAAACAAGGGAGGAACAAAATTGTATGACAATCGAATCACGAAGAAATCTTGAGAGAAAAGAATCAAAGGAAGATCCGAATTATACCCGCACTATTTATCAATAAAATATATATTTTTATATATATTTTTTATTTGTGATTGCAATTTATTAACCATCACTTTAAAATTTGTTTGCAAATAATTATATATGTTTATTGGTGATATTTTAGTTGTTTTTGTCTCCATAATCAAAAGTCAAACTACATATTTACTTCTTGTAGCCCAAGTTTAGGTGTTGCCCTGCAAAGGTAAAAGACTCTCATAATTATTTATATTACAATCTCCTAATTAAGAAAATAATCTTCTAAAATTAGTTATTATTTGCTTTTACTGTTTTGCAAAGTACTAAAAAAATATTTAATAGTTTTAATTATAGTGTTTGTCTAATTAATTGTTTTTGAAATCACTGGTTAATCTCTTTTTAACATATTACGTATTATACTATTTTGTCCTAAACAAAATAGTCTAAGTATTTATACATATACTTTGGATCCAATGCTCAAACATCAGATTTCATTATAATTGATTTGTATTTATATTTGTGTTGAAGGTTGTGTTGGATTATCCATCCGAATTTCTTATTGGAATAAAAGGTACCTATTACTCGAATGGTTTGCGATCAATAACATTTGTGACTAACAAAGGTACACATGGGCCATATGGCGGTGTAAAGCCCATGACAGTCGACAGAGAGATTGATTTTCAAATAGGAAATGATCGTTCTTTTGGTGGATTTCACTGCCTTTGCCAAAAAACTTACATTGAGAGTATTGGGCTCTATTTGGAGCCCATTACACCCTCCATGATCAAGCCCAGGAAGAAGACCAATTAATCCTCAATCTTGTTCAATTACAATTTAATCTTAGGTTTTTTCATTTTTCATATTCATATGATCGATTTATATTAAAACTATTTGGTTAAGTTTATTACTTGACAATTATGTAAGTGATGAATTGATGATTGTTCTTGTCTTTCCATAATTAAATACTAAATATTTCTCTAATTCATGCATTTTTCTACTCACAATAAAGATATAACATTGTATCTATTGATTGTTATAGATATTTGAGATAAGTGTTAAAAACACACCACCTATAATTTAGGTGTGTTTTTGACACTTATCTCTAGATATTATGTATAAAGACATCTCCATAAACGTCTATAGACTAACTAACTATAATATTACCTCACTTAATTGTGACATTGGATTCAATAGATAGTAAAATTCAAGGTTCATTCGATAAATGTTGATGTATATAATTAAAAGAGATATTATATTATACTTCAACTTATTTTACATAAAATAAACGATACTTTGAGAATATGCAAATTAGTGACAAGTTTGTAAATTACCAAAACTGCTCAACAGTCTACCTGAAACGTAGGGATAATTTTGTAAATTACATATCCAATTTCAACCCAACCCGCATATTTGACACCTCTAGTTGCAGAATTTTTAGTTCAACCAATTTACTCATTTATAGCTTTTTGGCTATGTTCTCATCATTTATCGAATTTAGTGTTAAAGAAGAAATATTTAATATTACGTAAATATATTTTGTATTCATATTTTAGTTATTCCATCTTCTATCTTACATAAAAATATTTTTAATTTTTTAAATGTCATCGAAAATATTTTGTTTTATATAGTTCAAAATATATTATTATTATTATTATTATTATTTAAGAAAACCTTATTTACATAAGTAAATTTTTACTATAAAAAAAATACTAAATAAGTACTACTTAATAAGTAATCCATTTAATTATTTTATTTCTCCATCTTTTTATGTGTAAATCACTTTTTATTTCTAATGTTAATGCTAGATCATTAATATTATTGTACTAGAAAAGAACATATGTCATTGAATTTAAAAAATTAAAAGTGCCACAAATAAGACTCTTCAAATTTTATTTGTGCCACATAAATTGGGACAAAGAGAATAACATATTATTTAAAAATTATGCTAATTTTATAAGTCACAATAATTAACCACTTAATGTTTTTAGAAAATATATATTAAAGAATTGAGTAACTCTCCAAATTTCCACATAAATTACAACAAAATAAGTAATATATATTGGGCCTGTAATAGCACGGGCTCACGTATCTAGTATATATATACACGTTAAAGACTTGATGGATTATTATTGACAAAGAAGCAATAATGAATAACCAAATTGATATGATAAAATATGGTGTAAAGAAGGAAGGGACTGTTTGGGATGAAAAGGGAAAAAGTGAAATAGCAAAGATTTTTATTTACAGCGGTGCTGAGTCCTATTTTGTTAATTCACTTCAATTCTTGTTCGTTGTGGATGGCCAATTTGTTTTGTCTCGATTACATGGAGCTGACTACAACTATTCTTGGAATACAAACTTTAGTACAGTAAGTTTATATATGTATATATATATTTTATACGTGTGTATACTTTAATTTGTTACAAACCTTTTGTTCTGATGATCGTTTATGTTATATATATTGAAGATTGTGTTGGATTATCCATCTGAATTTCTTACTGGGATACAAGGTACGTATTATTCTAATGGGTTGAGATCGATAAAATTTATGACGAACAAAGGTCTTTATGGACCCTATGGCAGCGATAGGATCAGTCCAAAAGTCCAGTTCGAAGAGTTCATTGTTCATCTTGGAGATGATCGTTCTTTTGGTGGATTTCATGGCACCAAAAAAAAGACGCATATTGAGAGTATTGGAATCTATATGAAGCCTGTCACATCCTCCATGATAACAAATTCTTCAGTATTGACAAAGTCCAAAAGACCAAAAAGAAAATAATATATTAATTGAATTCAAACATATATACTTTCATTATGTTTTGTTACAATTTTGATGTTATATATATTTATGGATTGATATTATTATTTTTATATAAGATTACATCATTTGGTACTGCTTTGGTTAATGTTATTATGTGACGGTCATTGATGATATTTTAGTTGTTTTTGTATGCATAATCAAAAGTCAAACTAAATAGACACAATTCTTGTAGCCCAATGTTTAGGAGATTGTTTGTACTTATATATTATAGGGAAAAAGGACAAATATATCTCCTAACTATCGTATATGATACGTAAATACTCTCCGTCATATTTTTGGGACATTATTGGTGCCCCTGTCGTCTAAAAACTAGAGCATATATATCATTTATACTAACGGACATACACGTGTCATAATCTCATCCGCCGATCTGACATTTATTAAATATCGGATCGACGGATAAGATTGTGTCACATGTTCCTATTTAATTTTTGTTAGAGTGAAGGGCATATATGTTATGTTCTAGTTTTTGGATGGCAGTAGTATCAATATTCCAAAAGTATGACGGAAGATATCTGCATATCATTTAAGATAGTTCGGGGGTATATTTGTCATTTTTCCCTATTATATAGGTGTTGCCTAGCAAAGGTAAAAGACACTCATAATTATATTACAATCCCCATATAATTATAATTGTAATTACGTGACAATTATATAACTACTTTAACATTATATAAGAAACAATAAATAATAGGGGTAATATTACTATTTTATCCTTTGACTTTATTAAATTTAATGTTTTGAGAAATGTGTTAGATGCTAATAGCAAGGGTAAAATAGACACAAAAGATAAATTATCTCTTAATATTCTAAACTGGATAAATATTGTTGGACAACTATTTTTAGTAGAACAACTTTCACATATAGCAAACATAAAAATTATATTTGTATGTTATAGCTATAGTTTTGCATAATTGCGCTGGAGCTTTTGATTTGTATAATTCGCTAGATACATCCAATTTTATACAAATTATTCAGTTTTGTATAAATTCATTTATACATTGTAATTTGTATAATAAGATATGCATTTGTATAATTATAAGTGTATACGACGAAAATATATGGATTTGTATATACACTTTTTCTCTCGCTTTATACAAACACAAACGCATTTTATACATTTGTATACCGAATGGGTAATTGTATACCAAAAAATGGCTAATTGTATACCGAATCAGATGACAAAAAAATGGGATGTTTGTTGCGAATTACAAATAAAATAAACAATGCCTATAGCATTTAATTTGAATTAATAGTTTGTTATTTCATACAATTTTATAGTGAACAACTATCGTTGGATGGAGGAGGTGCATTAAAAAACATCTATTTTTAGAAAATATTGTATTCATAAATCAGGACAGACAAATCATAACAAGACATGAATTAAATAAATATATAAATAACAAACCCTAAACAACTTAGGATTCCTACCCAACTTTAAATTATTGTTCCAACACACGCTCTCTATATATATACACGTTAAAGACTTGATGGATTATTATTAACAAAGAAACAATAATGAATAACCAAATTGATATGATAAAATATGGTGTAAAGAAGGAAGGGACTGTTTGGGATGAAAAGGGAAAAAGTGAAATAGCCAAGATTTTTATTTATAGCGGTGTTGACGCCTATTTTGTTTGTTCACTTCAATTCTTGTTCGTTGAGGATGGTCAATTTGTTTTGTCTCAATTACATGGTGCTGACTACAACTATTCTTTGAATACAAACTTTAGTACAGTAAGTTTTTATATATATATGTATATATTTTAAAGCATGCTTTAATTTGTTATAAACTTTTTGTTCTGATGATTGTTTATATTATATATATTAAAGGTTGTGTTGGATTATCCATCTGAATTTCTTACTGGAATACAAGGTACGTTTTATCGTACTGGATTGAGATCAATAAAATTTATGACGAACAAAAATGTTTATGGACCCTATGGCAGCGATAAGATCGATCCGAAATTCCAGTACAAAGAGTTCAATGTTCATCTAGGAGATGATCGTTCTTTTGGTGGATTTCATGGCACCAAAAGTGAGAGTCATATTGAGAGCATTGGAATCTATATGAAGCCTGTCACATCCTCCATGATAACAAATTCTTCAGTATTGACAAAGTCCAAAAGACCAAAAAGAAATAATATATTAATTGAATTCAAACATATATACTTTCATTATGTTTTGTTACAATTTTGATGTTATATTTATGGATTGATATTATTATTTTATTATAAGATTACATCATTTGGTACTGCTTTGGTTAATGTTATTATGTGACAGTCATTGATGATATTTTAGTAGGTAATTGTTTTTGTCTGCATAATCAAAAGTCAAACAAAATAGATACTTCTTGCAGCCCAATGTTTAGGAGATCGTTTGAAATTATATATTATAGGTGTTGCCTAGCAAAGGTAAAAGACACTCATAATTATATTACAAAATTACAATCCCCATATAATTATAATTGTAATTATGTGACAATTATATAACTCACTACTAAAAAAACTGTGAATACCGACCTATAAA